AAACCCTTTGACCAACTGGTCAAATTGGTCAAACCGGTCTGGTCAAGCTTGACCATTGACCGGTCCATGCCAACCCTGGATATACTGTATCCACCAACAAATACAAATTATATCATTCGATTCCTCTCATAGAGAAGAATCGGATGGCATAAGCATAACACAGATCTAATCACCGGATGAATTCAAATACCTTCGTTAAAATAACCGTCTAACGCTAATGAATTTTTATATGGATCTACTATGGTTAAATATAAAAGATCTTACCCCTAATATTATATACCAAAAATATATACAGCAATTAGCGTTGGTTCTTTTTTAAATAGGGATCCTGATTCTGAGATGTCGATATGTCAGTGCTAGATACGAAGTGCATGCTTTTGTCATGAATGCAAATATGATTAGTAATCCAAAAAAGTAAATTGACGTTAGCGTTGAAAATTTGCCGAGTCACCAATACATTTAATCCGAACACAAACATTTAACAATTTTCTATCTAGCTCTTTTTTTTTATGATAAAGTACAGATTCCTGAAATGTAGCTGTTTATTGGATAAACGATAAAACCTTATAATGTTATGGGATAGCTACTATTAAAACGTCAATAATGAGGATAAATAAGTGCTCGCCATATGTAACAATAGCGACAGTACTGTACTAACGCTATGTCCAGATCATGGTAGACATTGAGCGCAGCATCCAATCAAATGATACTTGGCCGTTGAAAATTTAAACAATTATAGCATATCATGTGAATATAAATTGAATACAAAGGATCCCAGCACGTTGTACTGGTACGCATGTACCCACATTATTTTTAAGTGTAACCCTAGAACGCCCAACGACATTCTTTGAATAAAATGTGCCGTCGCACGCCAATTGTGCCCCCAAATATCTGTTAAATCGGTTAAATAATGTTAATTAATACATAAACAGGATCGCATAATCTATTTAATATCGACATTGTCGGGTCAGGCTTGAATAGTGTTCTCCAATATTATAATAACTCTCGTAGTACATGCAGCGCATAATCAAAAAAGTTCATCTGAGATCTGGGCTTAGAATTTCGACGTACCTACGTATGTACGTGCGTACGTCTTTAGCTTTTCACACAAAACCAGTTTCATCAGGTCTTTTACCATAGAGTTTTATAAAGAAAGTTACCGATTTGGGTCTTTTTAAATAGTAATATTATAATTACTGATAAAGCCTAGCGTCAATTAAAGATTGTACAAAATAATTTAATACATACGCAGCAGTAATGTGGAACTCTTACTTATTGAAGCTTCGAACAACAAACCAATATGATGTTTGACCGACTTACCAAGTTAGGAAAGTCATTCTGTTTGTCCATATTATATTTATACATGGCTTCTCCGAAATGATTAACAAATTGTGTCAATCAAACATTCGCATGTACGTACGTACGTACGTATGTACGAATGTTTACAAGCAAATAATTAGGGACAACAAATTCCCAAGTCCCAATGGTAGTATAGTATGGGGCGGAAGTTTTGATCATTTGACACTGCTTGAAAATACATATTTGCATAAATAACTTCGGACTTTTTATATTAGTCAGTCAGTGGAAGTCCCACATCATCCCACATCTTCGTCATTGCTGCATTACTACGTTTCAGTCTGTATAATTTAGAATTACTGTGCCTATCTTTATTTAATATATATACTGTATATATAATTTATATAATTTATATAGTTATTTAAAAATACGTATATAAAAACGATTAACCTACGACGTTACATCTATCATGTTTCGATTTCTTTTGTAATCTGTGTTTTGGATTGTTAATCATATTCTATTTCTGAATAATATTCCTCTTAAAATTTATAAAACCAATTTTCCAAATGGACATGCTTCGTCAGGCAAATAACGTCCCCGAGTCCATGGCCACATCAATTTCCTCGTCCGGCTCCGTCCAGCACACTCCAAGAAGACCAAAAGTCTGTAGGGGTTGTTACAAAAATGCCACTCTTTGGCAAGTAAAATCAGATACGTCGATTAATAAGGGCAAATGGTTTTGGACATGCCCCGTTAAAAATTTTGATTACCAATGCCGCTTTTTTCACTGGGCAAGTGATAGTGAAGTAGATGAATACTTTAGATCCCAAGCCATCGAATATGAATCTGAGGATGCTACACTTTCGCAACAAACAATCAATGGTTCACTACCTACAAGAATAACGATCGATATTACTAAC